CTCTGGTTTTAGAGACCTTTAACTTTGAGATAGCACTTTGCTAATAATGTGAGCTGGATTTTTGCTCCATTTAGCTAGTAATTTGCTCGTTTTTATGTTTTAGTTTCCATTTGGCAACATTTAGTTTAAAATTAGTGTTTAGTAACTTAGGTTTTTTTTGCTGTTTTGCTGATATAAGCTAGAATTTTACAACTTTCAACTAGCCTTTTGCTAACTTTAGCTTTTAGCTAACCCTTTGCATGTTCTAGCTTTAGCTAGTAATTTGCTAGTTTTAGTTAGCATTTTTACTTCAGTAGCATAGCTACATTTGATTTTTGGGATTTTTTTTTGCAAAAGCATTAAACTTTCTATATTTTTGGCTGTTGTTTTACTCCTGTTAGCTTTTAGTTAATGTTCTGCATCTTCAATGGTTCACTTTCAGCTTCTTCAGCACATTTCAGCAGTCATTCAGTGCACCACATTCAAGGGCGTAACTTTAAGTCTACAATTGGGGGCAGCGGGGTGGGGGGGTGGTATACTCTAAAAACCTGCAGGTCATTTTCAGCAGTTATGCTTAAACGTACATATATGACATAATAATTTTTTCTAAATCAGGTCAAAGTTAGCTAAGGGCAAGAGAGTTGCATCTGTTTATTTAACCAGTTCATTTATATTGTGTTAAAGCAAATTATACTATTTTATTGGGGGAGTTATATTGACTGGATCAAATTATTATGGGGGTCAAAACCCCCCTAACCCCCTCGCAAATTACACCTATGACCACATTCTCAGTCTAGTTGTACTTGTCTCGTCACGCTGCGCCCTCTCTACATAAAATACACCCTCGACCTTTTCATCCTCCTCCCCTTCATGTTTTCCTCCTCCTCACTCTTTCCTGCGTCTCACAGCAGTAATTTCCTCTGAGCTGGAGACCTTTGATCATCCAGTTCCTAACTCTTTATGGAGCTGCAGGTTTTACAGAGACTGTTTACGTCACCTCGCAGAGTTCTCACCCTCAGTCTGGCTTCATTAGGTTTCCACACCCGTTTGTCTGCTCAAAGATGCAATAATCACCAACAGTCACACCAGGAAGKGCTCTTCCTTTGATTACGTAATGATCAGTTTCATCAAGTTTGGCAAAGTTGGASGTTTTGGCCTGACATGTTTTTACCTCATAGATGTGTGTTACTTGTGGTCCAACATCGTCCTCTTTGACAGGTTTCTCTTTAGGTTCCCAGTTTGGGAATGGCAGCACCACCTGGGAGGGATGAGACACCCTGGAAGGAGCAGACAACAATGGGATCAGTTTCTGTCTCGCTCTGTGTTTCCTCGTTTTTTTCTAGTGTTGTTTGTGTTCCCCTATGTGTCTCTGCCCCGCTGTCTGTCTTGTCTCTAGCCCCGCCCTCGATCACCTGTTTCCTCTTGTGTCTMTCCCCGGTGTTTCTTGTTGTCTCATTAAGTTTGTGTTTATATTTTGTGTCCTGTCCTGCCTCAGTGTGTGGTCGGATCATTGTGCTGCTTCCCCTCAGCCAGTGTGTCTTCCTCCTGTTCCTGTTCCTGTTCCTTGTATGAAGATTGTGAGTTTTTTCTTTGTCAGCCTTCCTTTGTTATAAATAATTTTCTTTGGAACTCTGGATTTTGCCTGTGGCCTGGGTCGACCTCTGCTACACCTCAAGGTTTCCATCAATCAGGACAACGTGATGATTATTAAAATATTTTTTGCATGAAAAAAGGGAAGTATATTTTGTATTCTGTCATTAAAGCAGATTTATAATAGTGGGAAAACCCACAACAGCAAGAGGTAAGATCTAATGACAATGTGATTGCCYGTGTCTATCTGTACATGTCTGTTAGCAAAATGTCTCATGAACCAATAGAGGCCTAGATTGAGGAAGATAAATTAAAATGAAGGCAATAATTTTCATTTGCTTGCTTGTTTTCTTCATGCCTTCCTCTTTTCTACTTCTTAGCGTAAAGAGGAGTGACCTCAGGCGCCAGGCATATTCAATTCAATTCAGTTTATTTATATAGCGCCACGTCACAACATACATTGTCTCAGGGCACTGTACGTAAACATGAATAATCTGAAGAAGAAACCAGCAGATTGTGTTGAATCACTTCATCACAGTCTCCCATCCTGAGCAAACGGTGGAGAGGAGAAACTCCCTGCTAATCAGGAAGAAACCTCCAGCAGAACCAGGCTCAGGTTTTTGGTTTCCTAACCTCTGTAGCATGAAAGCCTGTGAACAGGCCAGTTTTCTGACGCCTTCATACAGCTGGCGACGCCTTGGGATTGCCAACAGTTGATTTTCTTTTTACACTGTAAATTTTAATGTAAACTTCCATAAACAGGGGGATTATATCGTTATATTAGTATAAACTGTGTAAGGGTCACCCCGAGGGGGAATAAACATTTCCACTTGTCTTTGACCCTGAAAGACCTTCCTCAAAAGAGACATTTTATTTTCTTTAATAAACAAAATAATAATGTTCTTTATATTTGTAATTTATAC